ACTGCAGAGAGCTAATGACAGTTGAAGAAATCAGGAGTGGCCAACAACAACCTGTGAGATGAAGCAAAGCTGCTGGCCCAGCCTCTCTGATGGCGTCCAACACATCCCCCCCACCATCTAGAGCTGTCAGGTGCAGCCCCACCTCCACAGTGACTTCTAATACTCCTGCCCCTTCCCCCTCCTACACTGGACAGGCAGCTGCCTGTCAGGTGTAGGAGAGGAGGTGGGATGTTTACAGCCGCTGGGGAGGTTTGCTCAGCAGGATTGCCTTAGCACAGCTTCTAGCCCTGCCTCCCTGATGCCTTTAAATACATTCCCCACAAACACCTGACAGGCCAGTGTCTGTCAGGTGTAGGAGCAGGACCAAGGTACTTTAATCCATCAGGGACACTGCCCCAGCAGGATCACCTTAGCGGTGCTGCTGGCCTAGCCTCTCTGATGGCTTTCAACACACTCCCCCACCTCCTACACCTAACAGAGGGTAGTCTGTTAGGTGCAGCAGTGGTTGCAGGGTGCTTAAAGCCCCAGCAGTAATGCCTTAGTGATCCCGCCAGCCCTGCCTCCACAGTGGCTTCTAATACTCCTCCTCCCTCCCCATCCTACACCGGACAGGCAACTGCCTGTCAGGTGTAGGAGAGGAGCTCGGATGCTTAAAGCCGCCAGGGAGGTTTGCTCAGCAGGATTGTCTTAGCACTGCTGCTGGCCCAGCCTCCCCGATGCCTTTAAATACAATCCCCCCCAACACCAGACAGGCCAGTGTCTGTCAGGTGTAGTAGCAGGGCCAGGGTATGAATGTTTATAGGGAGATAGTAAAGGACATTTCTAGGAGCCATTTTGATCTGTGCCTCCCCCATGAACATGAAGAAATGTCCACCACATCACCACTCCCTCACACCAACTCCCTCTCACACCTCTCACCTCTTACTGCCCCCAAGAAAGCTCCTGGCAAATGTCAAGCCAGATACACCAACGCTACAAGGAGGAGGCAACTTAGGAATGCGGCAAAGAGATTTGCACATAGTACTCCTGTAGTGCACTAAGCTGCACAGGCCAAGTACCCACAAGATCACCTTGAGGTGCTCAGAAGAACACAGTCTCCATCAGTGTTCCCTCTAAGCTGAGTTAGTGTGAGCTAGCTCATAGTTTTTTAGCCTCCATCTCACACATTTTTGTCTTAGCTCAGGAAGGATAGCTCCAGAGCAAACTAATTTATGCAGTAGCCGAATTGCTCACTAACAACTTTAATGCCAGTAGCTCCCAAAGTAGAATTTTTGCTCACAAGACTCCACAGCTTAGAGGGAGCATTGGTCTCCATATGAGCAAAACAATCCAGGAACACAAGTAGAGAGGCCATCACTTTCGTGGAAGGTAGCAGGAGCTGACTTAACAGATGACTGCTTCTTAAATGGACAGTTCTATGTGGCCTGCTCCAGAGTGAGCTCATCAAGCAGCCCCGTGATCCTAGCAGTTGAGGGCAGAACCACCAATGTGGTCTAGAGAGAGGTCCTTCAGTAGAGAGAGAAAAAGTACGTATGTCTCACTTCATTTCTTACACTACAGTCTTCTCTGTTAGAATTCTTAGAACAAATGTCACATTTCAAATGTTACATCATCAGTATTATAACTGGATTTACGGAATTTAAATACCATAGTGAAGCATGGGTATCAGGCTAGTTTTATATAATCTACAAATGAAACAGTGTACCCTCAAACAAGAACAAAGTATGCAGTCTTACACAGTTATATAAGCTCACTGATGTCCACAGTTGAAACATATTTAACAAACAAAATTGCAGGATAACACAGGTGTATCACTATGTATGGCAATAAGCTCTAGAATGATAATTTCAATTTGAAGCTAATTTATTTATTTGTGGATTTGTCTTCATTTACCTACAGCTGCATAAACATGCATTTCCAAAACAGGGTCCCTGGAGAAAAATAGGTAAATGTGACCAGTTCACAACAACAGATTGAAATAAAAATTAGTGAGGTTTGCTGTTACAATGTAGAAACGTTTCACAGAAATAAAGAAATCCCATCTCACCCCACAGCAATAAAGATGACAGATACTATAATGAAGAACAGAATTGCGTTTCAAAGCATCAGACTCTCTAACATGTCTAGTAGTCTCCTTTGACTGCATTAAACTCAAGGCAAATAGAGATACCAAATACACACCACTACATGCAAATTCAGTGTGCAGACACCTATGAGTAAGTAGGATCCAGTTTCATGGGCAATCTTTTGTTCATAAATAGCCATTCTTCTTAAATGATTTTGCAAACCACTAATCTTAAACGTTTAATAAAATCTCTTTAAGCTCTTCTCATTTCCATGCATAGATGACATCTCTGTCATTTATGTCCCCAATATAAATATTCCTTTCATCAGTATAGATTTCAGATACTCAATCTTAACATCAGTCTAGGTGTGTACGTGATCTGGTCCATGGGGTCGCGAAGAGTCGGACTCGACTGTGCGACTAAACAACAACAAGGTGTGTACTCAAACATACTTTTTAACATATGTATTACAACACACTTTTAATTCACAGGTGTTGGCAGCAGCTTGATTAGAAAGCTACATTCATTATACACTAAACAGAGGATCTGATGTTAAGACTATCTGAAATCTACCCTGATGAAAGGCATATTCATATGTTTGTGCACATGTTTGTGTGAGGCACACCAATGAAGTAAATCTTGCATCCTCAAACCACTTGATGTGCCAAATCCTATGCTTATATGAATATAGGTATAGATGTGTGTTACAGACCACATTCATACTACTATTTCAGTTTCATTCACACAAATTGAGGCTACAATCCTATGCATACTTATATGGAAGAGAGCCCCACTGAATGTACTAACCAGACATGATTATAATACACTGCATTGCTCTATACTTGGGGATTTCCCTGGATCCTTTCTTACAGCATCTTGTAGAGATAAATCTGGTTAATCTTTCTGTTTCATACATATGAGGATACTGGATATAATTACTCGAAAGCATAGCACCAGATATGCAGAATTGCCAAGACCTGGCACAGATCCCTGTTCAATGAATATTGCTCCTCCCACCATCACCTAGAGCCAATGCAAACATGAAAGCAAATCACATAACCGTGCCCAGGTCCATGGCTCCCAAAATGACCAAGAACCCTGGAATTGTATATCCCTAGTGTCCCTGTTCTTGACAGTCCTCTTGTCAGGGAACTTTACT